TCCACTGGGGAGTATCACATAACAGCTTATGATTATGGAAATTTATTTGAAACCGTTCTGAAAAGTTGGCTTTCCGTTTTTTATAGTGTGAATGCATACTAGGATTACATGAGGAATTCATATTTCTAAATAATGGCTTGATATGCAATGGAACTGGATGACTACAACAATCAACGACATCAACGAGTTTTGAACGATTGTTCTTTATGCGATTAAATTTCAAACATCATTTGTGACATTGTTTTGGTGAACACCTGGTGCTCCTATTATTTTCCTTTTACGCTCCGTGGATTGGTTGTTCTGTGTGTTTGACGTGTTATATATTATATTGCATGAGGAAAGGTATTTCTGATCTAAGCAAGGGTGGATTGGTTGTTCTGTGTGTTTGACGTGTTATATATTATATTGCATAAGGAAAGGTATTTCTGATCTAAGCAAGGGTGGATTGGAGGATTGTTATAGCCAACTATTGATGAAAGCATCAGCTCCTCACACAACAAAGATGGGTTTGATATCCTACAGGAGTAAACATTATGACCCATTCCTTGTGTATCGCCCGCTCATGCCACGAGTGTGGCATAATACCACTCACTCACTCACTCACTCACTCACTCACTGCTGTTTCTCCAACGTCAGTTACATGCTATGACATGCAGTTGTTGATCACTTGCATGACAACGACACCAGCATCTATACTGATACGTCGCAATAAAAGTATCAGCTGTTGCGAAACATCAACAAAATCCAAAACAACAACAAACGAAACACAAAACAGATCAATCAACAACAAAATCCACAAACACACACAAAATGGAAACAAAACAAAGCTAGTGAACCATTATTGATGCCACCGATGGGGCAGAATATCCACATTGTTTCGCGAACATCTTGTATCATCACTATTTGATAGCGATCTATAATCACATGCTTATGATAAGTCGGAAACGTACAATCGACTCTGCGTTTGACAGAAATTTCTTATGAATATGGAAAACGTTTTGTCGGTATCATTTTTGACAAATGTGGAGGCGATTCCGAATTTGTAAGAATCAATTTTTTGCGAACCACAATTATTAGTTTCAATTTCAACATGGCTGAACGGAAAATGTCATCTCCTATGAAAACGTGTGAAGTTATGACACCTTGACAAGCAGCCAGCAGATGGCGTGATTCTTCCAATTATCATATCCGCATAACACCAGGCCATCACATCATGTTTTGCCAACAAGCAGGATCAACCACAACTAACACACATTTAACGCCCATTTTACACCGATATTACTATTTTCATTTGATTGAAATGGCATAGAAATCCTGCTCAATACAATCAATTGAATCTCAGCGGCGTTGTTTTAATTTTGAAAACATCCCATTTATGGCAAATATGTTTTCGAGCAATTTGGTAGCGGCTATACAATAGAATCTGAGCAAGCAATCTGTACCCGCATTTCTACTTATTGTGACCCTGCGTTCAGGCCGCCCTAATCACATCCTCCTCTGCAACCGGCTGTTGATTCAATGTTCATTCAACCCACTCCAATTATAATGCCCCAACTCCGTATTCAGTCGTATTTAATGGCAAGCTTTTCTATTACGCCTGATTCCTGAGTCTATAGCGATGTTTAAAGCCTCGGCCGCGGCCTCTGATCAGAACCACTGGTCTCAATAGACCGGGCAGCGAATACCAGCCACAGAGACCGATTTAAATGATATTCCCAAAATATCCCCTGAATTGTTACAATCGCGATCAAGTGCTCGATAGCGCTTCCGAATCGTACACAGCGTTTGAAATGATCTCTCATTGACCGCTATATTTGGTAATTACTTCTGCTAATTATTATTTGTGAGTTAGATTCTATCTCCAATTTGTTCAGACTGCGTTTATCCACTGGCATCATCGAGCAGCAATCCATTTTATTCGCGGCAAATTGCTACAAAGATGGCTAAAGTGTTTTCAGCGTTGGCGTGTGGCTGCGACTAAATATCAGCAATTCCTTTGTAGTCACAATACTGCTAAATTACATAACAACAAATGAATTTGATCATAAAGGTATATGCCTGAGTGTGGTCCTGATGTGAAAACACTCCTACATAGAAAATGATTTTCGCTCCTCTCTAAAATCCTCTTGTAAAATATCGCTTTAGTGACATTGTCGGAATGAAAACAATTTAATAAGATTAATATTTGTTGGAAATTCCGATATGCCTGCGGCTATAACTTGACAGTTTCATGACAAGACGAGGAGACGCCCTTTATCTCTGGTAATGTGATTGTAGAACGTTAACAACACGTGGGGAAGCTTTGATAGCCTTTGTTTGAAGAATAAGAACATTGACAGATCACTTGAATAGTATTACCGATGTCATACATTGTCAGCTTATAGCATATTGCAGAGGGACCTGTGTAAAAATGTGCAGTGGTCCTAAATCCCATCGTTCTAATGCTATTGTCACATTCCATTATATATATTTAGTCTGAGGCATTTGGGTATAGATCTGTATGTAACCGTATACATGTCATTAGAAAATCGACTCACTGCTGTCTGATTTTATAATACATGTTGGACACAAAGGGAATGAGAAATATTTGGGGTGGTTGACACAATGATGTCGTTTCGGCTACATCAACCTTCACGAAATGTTTGACTCGGGAGCGCGCTGTGGCCGAACCTATTCTCTAATCGGTGCTATCTATACATACCCATCCATGTCCCGGGAGACCCGAGGCGCCATTCGTCAAGCACAGTTACGTAAATGTCACGTGACACAAGTGCTTCTTTCTATTCTTTACGTTCCATAATAAGCACTGATGACAATCGCATGCCCTTGTATGGCCGATTCCTTGAGACTCCCAGCGACAGTTATTCAATTTGTCTGCGACTGTAGCATTGTATTTATGGGAGAATGTCAGAAGCGGGCTATTCATAGAGGGAATTTCTCTAATTTCATCAAATCCCTTGTCCAACACATATAGCTCTTCGATTATTATGACAGGTCCAAATCAATGCCTGTAATTCCATTACTGTCTCCTATTTACACAACACGGCTAAAAATAACTACATTGCGTTTGTTGGGTCATACGGGCTTTAGATAGGGGTCAATTGTGCGCGTTTAAGGGAAACAGGAATATAATCACAATTAATAGTTGACCCAACTTCTCACGAACGATTCTCAAGACACGTAATTTTCTTCTAATCGTTTCCAAGTCAAGAATCAAATTAAACCCATTTGAATAAAATATGGATGCAAGCTGTAATTACAGTAATAAGAGTTAAATATGTTTGAGAAGGAATAGGATGTCAGATCAGTTTACAGGCTGGTTCCTTAACACTTGCAGCACCAAACAGAGGCCAGATATCGGCCGTCTCTTCCCTTACCAAGCGCCTGAACGTTTTACTCCCCTAAAGACAAGCGCTTCTTGTTGTAATCGACCACTCTTCTTCGCTGTAATATAACAACTGTTTTCATTTAAAATAACTATGATTAAAAGAGTATTTTCGAAACGTTGAAGACTTCCAGTAATATTATCTTTGTCAGTTAAATCCCCTGGAGTTATATTATGGAGAACAGGATGAAACTGTAAAAACAACCCAGTCGCATAGGACGAGATTTGAGAGGTCAGCAGCTAGCAAGGCTGGGTTTTTAATCTGCAGAGGTTACTAATCGATCGCCACCAGTCATATATAACATATCCTGGCGGCCATGCTTAAACCAACCTATTGATTGGACTGCAACGTGTGTATTTAAGGGAAATTTTGAAAAAGGAATCTGTGTTTGAAAATGTCACTGATATATTACATCGCAAACTTATTCCCGTGGCTAGGACTTAATCAAGACAATTTCACTGAAAAACTGTCATAGTTAAATCTTTGTTTAAGTCAACCTATTTTTATTCACATGGTAAGCTGTTCTCAGGATTAGTCATGTAATTTACTTCGAAGGCCGGGAGACCTGGGATTATCGTGTTAGACAAATTATGTTTTTCATCAGGTCTTCAACACATCCAATTTCTTATTGACACCGAGAGTGACAGAATGTAGTGTGGCGTCCAGGAGACATTAAGAATCCTGGCTTTCATGTGGCGTGTCCAGTGTCATGGTGGTGCCTACAGTTGAGTTATTCTTGTTGAAAGTGGGGCATCATGTGTTTGTCCTTCTGTAGGATCAGCTACACATATCATTTGCAAACACATAAAGTACACACACATGAATTACAGAATAAACTACACAGTCTCACAAGCCAGCCATACCACCCACATATAATATACACACATATAAACTGTCACACATATGCTGCAAACACACCAGCTACGAGCATCAGCTAAACACACATCCCATCACACACATCATATGCACCAACTGCACACATATATATGCTGCAAACACACCAGATACACGCATCAGTTGCACCAACTACACACACACATCTGCTGCAAACACGCAAGCTACACGCATCAGCTAGACACACATACATTACATCACACACATCAGCTGCGCCAACTTCACACACATATATGCTGCAAACACACCAGATACGCGCATCAGCTGCACCAACTACACACACACATCTGCTGCAAACACGCAAGCTACACGCATCAGCTAGACACACATACATTACATCACACACATCAGCTGCACCAACTACACACACAAATATGCTGCAGGACGCCAGCTATGGGTATCAGCTAGACACACACACACACACACACACACACACACACACACACACACACACACACACACACACACACACACACACACACACACACACACACACACACACACACACACACACACACACACACACACACACACACACACACACACACACACATTACATCACACACATCAGCTGCACAAACTTCACACACATATATGCTGCAAAGACGCCAGCTACGCGCATCAGCTGCACCAACTTGACACACATACATGCTGCAAACACACCAGATACGCGCATCAGCTGCACAAACTTCAAACACATACATGCTGCAAACACACCAGATACGCGCATCAGCTGCACCAACTTCACACTCATATATGCTGCAAAGACGCCAGCTACGCGCATCAGCTGCACCAACTTCACACACATCAGCTGCACCAACTACACACACATCAGCCGTACCAACTACACACGCATATATGCTGCAAACACACCAGATACGCGCATCAGCTGCACCAATTACACACGCATCAGCTGCACCATCTACACACGTATCAGCTGCACCAACTACACACGCATCAGCTGCACCATCTACACACGTATCAGCTGCACCAACAACACACACATCAGCTGCACCAACTACACACGCATCAGCTACACCATCTACACACGCATCAGCTGCACCATCTACACACGTATCAGCTGCACCAACTACACACGCATCAGCTGCACCATCTACACACGTATCAGCTGCACCAACAACACACACATCAGCTGCACCAACTACACACGCATCAGCTGCACCAACTGCACACGCATCAGCTACACCATGCAAACACACCAGATACGGGCATCAGCTGCACCAACTACACACGCATCAGCTGCACCATCTACGCACGTATCAGCTGCACCAACTACACACGCATCAGCTGCACCATCTACACACGCATCAGCTGCACCAACAACACACACATCAGCTGCACCAACTACACACGCATCAGCTGCACCAACTGCACACGCATCAGCTACACCATGCAAACACACCAGATACGGGCATCAGCTGCACCAACTACACACACATTAGCTGCACCAACTACACACGCATCAGCTGCACCATCTACACACGCATCAGCTTCACCAACTACACACGCATCAGCTGCACCATCTACACACGCATCAGCTGCACCAACTACACACACATCAGCTGCACCATCTACACACGCATCAGCTGCACCAACTACACACGCATCAGCTACACCATCTACACACGCATCAGCTGCACCAACTGCACACGTATCAGCTGCACGAACTACACACGCATCAGCTGCACCAACTACACACGTATCAGCTGCACCATCTACACACGCATCAGCTGCACCAACTTCACACGCATCAGCTACACCATCTACACACGCATCAGCTGCACCATCTACACACGTATCAGCTGCACCAACTACACACGCATCAGCTGCACCATCTACACACGCATCAGCTGCACCAACAACACACACATCAGCTGCACCAACTACACACGCATCAGCTGCACCATCTGCACACGCATCAGCTACACCATGCAAACACACCAGATACGGGCATCAGCTGCACCAACTACACACACATTAGCTGCACCAACTACACAAGCATCAGCTGCACCATCTACACACACATCAGCTGCACCAACTACACACACATCAACTGCACAAACTACACACTCATATATGCTGCAAAGACGCTAGCTACGCGCATCAGCTGCACCAACTTCACACACATCAGCTGCACCAACTTCACACACATCAGCTGCACCAACTACACACACATCAGCTGCATCAACTACACACACAAATCTGCTGCAAACACAAAAGCTGTGCGCACGTTCATCACAACACACATATACCTAAGCTTAACAAATATAAACTACATAGATACCAGTTACACATATATGTTTCTCAAAGATCAAACTACACGCACATGCTAGATTTAAATCACACATTACTTATTACGTACAACAATCATCCAAAAATCACCGACAAGATTATCTGATAAAAACAGACTGTGGTGTACGATTCTGAAATATCATAAGCATGTGTATATGACTTCTAATCAAATAGTTATCCTTGCAGGTCACACACACACACACATGTACGCACACACACGCACACACCCGGACACACATACACACGCACAAACACACAGACAATCACAAACAAAACACGCGCACGCACACACAAACGATATCTCACACACACGCACGCACGCACGCACGCACGCACGCACGCACGCATACACAAACGATCACAAACAAACGCAGAGACACACATGCACGCAGACACACAAGCGCACACAACCCTCGCACAAACACACAAACGATCACAAACACACACACGCACGCGCACACGCTCTTACACACAGATAAGCTTCACACGCGCTCATTCTTATTGTAGGTCCCGAGAAACTAACGACTCCCTTCAAAAGCAAGAGTCCTAAAGATACAACCTGAAGTATACCAGTCTCTGTGAAATACAACCGGCTCCAATGTAAATCACCTGAATAACTGTACTTAGTGTTATCGTGCAATAGAGCTTATTTTCCAAACGTTGACCAACACTACGCATGACGAACAGCCCCAGCGTGGCATGAATATGTAGGAAGATACATGCTATAGTCCAGCCAGTCACGATTATTGCCATGATGTGCTTAATTTACCTTAATGTGCCACCCCTATTCTCGAATTGGTGTAATGTCAGACTCGCGGCCTAGTTCTTTATTCTATAGAGCACGTATACCTCATAAACACATAGTGATGGAAGCTGGGTCTAAGTCTCTCTCGAGCCAGGGAAGAATAATTGTGTGTTTGCAAAGTCAGCTTCAAATGGAAGTAAAGACTGTACGTGGTTGCAGTCGCCGGACGGGCGGCTTGTAAGCCCCGACGATCAGAGTGATATCAGCCCAGCAATAACGCCTAACCAGCAACCCTCCCATCAAAACAACCAAATTAGAGATCGATGTCCCCATCAACTTCGCCAGCGCCCGGATCAACCATGCTCCAATGAGGACTCGAGATGCAGTAAGTTAGCAAACGCATTACAATTCACAGTTGGCGGACCCTATATTACCGCAGATTACGTGAAAGATCTTACAAATTGAATAATCACCATCCCTATGTAGCAAGACCTGTAGAGTTGGCTGCGTCGATCTATCTTTGGGCTCATAATGCCTCTTCATGATTCCCTTCCACCGTAAAGCGCTGGTCAGATGACGAGTAATGTGGGGAAGAACGCTCTTAGCTAATTGTTCTCTCTGAGGATTGTATGGTAATTCAGGAACACCTGCCAAATGCTTTAGCCAGGCATTAAATAAGGGATTCTAGTCAATAGTGGATCGCTTGTTAGCCTTTGTCAGAGAAAAATATACTTACAGTATCTTTCTTCAATCTAATCCCCGCTTTTCAGGCGGATTGGCTCCAATGGTAAATTGAAACGGATGCTTTTATCCTGATGTCTGTTTGAGGCGAGGAACGTATTTCATGTGTCAGTGGAGGAAGCACTTTCCAGTATACTACCTCACTGCATGGTGTGACTTGCATGCGTCTGTCGTGACAACGTTCCAATCGTTTATGTCACGTTCAGAACACGATGGGTCGGGCGACATTCAACAATGTTTGTTTTATCTTGTCTTCCATCGTCTCACAACACACTCTGTAGGTTTGTGTTTTCTATAAGTGTATTATGATTAAATGAGAACATATTTTATTGTTTGTGCTATCAATGTGAAAGAAAAATAGCCCCTGCCTGGTGATATTCTGTTAGTGAGGGTATGCACATTTTCATTGGACTTCTGTAGCTCAGCTGAACAGAGAGGGTGGCACGGGAGGCCCTGTCGTTTGGGGTGGCGCAGCTCGCTGCATCTCTCAGGCTTGTCAGAAACATGATCGTGGGTTCGGATCCAAGTTCACCCAGATTATGTTTTTAGGTTTGAGTAACGTCTAAGACCAGCATCACTTCGTGTTTTCCTCCCACATCAAACCAACACGCCAAGAACGAACATATGGGTCGTTAAGTCCAACTCACTCACTCACTCACTGCGGTCGTCGTGCTGAAATAAAGTATCATATATTCAAAGCTTTGTTATCTAATTTTCATATTTGACCTTGACCTTTTAACCTTGTATCCTTGGGTTACAGAACTAAAATATTGTTTTATTTCCCCAAAGTTACAGAAACACGATACTTTATTGTTATAAAACCTTTTAATCTAGTACTGTACTCAACTGGGTTATGAAGCTAGAATGTTGTGTAATTTGTACCAATCAAATGTATCATTGATCTGAGCTTACAAGATTCCAACCCCACTTCAGAGACTGTTGCTATGATGCAGAACGCTTCACAGACAGTTAATATGTTGAATGTCTTCAACTGATATTTGAAGTGGATGTTTTCCGATAACCCAAGGGTTAAAAAACAAACTTAACTACCTTTGCACAAAGGATCTGAGAACTGCCTCTAAAATAGAAGCTACACTTGTGAACAGAGTATGTGATGCATGACTTAAACTATTAGCTTCACGAACATGTGGTGGTATTTGGAATCATCTCTGATTTGTGAATGCAAGATAAAAACACCAATGGCTGCCTTGGACAAACTCTAGTTCCAGTACAACACAACGATAACGCCAGGTAACGAATCAGATAGCGCCATAAAGTAGACAGTAGCATGGTATGTTCTTGCTAATCATAGGCACAGACATATACCACGAGAAGTTTGTAACAAAGTCCATCACCATTGGTCTAGACGCTCCAGATCCTTGCAGCTCAACCAGAAATAGACTGTTCCCGCCAGAACGGGGCGGGACGCATGCCACAGTCAAGACGCATCAAAGATCTCACGTACATGACAACTATTAATGGGATTCCATAGCAAGGAAGATTTGTGTTTGTTCAGGTGCCCACCCGGCTTTGATCCTGCCGCCGATATCGGAGCTCACACCTCATTTGCATCTATCTCAGACAGACAAGAACTATATTCTTCAGTTATTGAATAAGTATTCATGTTACGACACAGAAGTAATGCACATTAAATTTACTTTGGCTATCTTCTGTATTTCATCAGGAGCACAGAAGATGATTACAAGTAATTGTTTGACAGCTACCAACTCTAAAGACGCCATGTTGGTTTTCCTCAACGTACCATGCAAGTGATGTGTCTGGTTTTGTGTCACGTGACTCGGGTGGCCTCTAGGGGGCGCGGCAAGTGCGGAGTAATATTCGTAGTTAATAGAATAACGATCAGGGTATTTCCCGATAGCCCCAGGCTATATAGATATAGATTTGACAGTTTGTGTCACAGTAATATACGTCTGATATTAGATTACCGAGGGATGTAGGTAAACGTACATCACGTACATTCCCGTACACCCCGTTGTTGAAACATGTATCATTACTGATAAAATACATAGATTGTTCTTTCGAAGTGACAATGAATGTGCCCGCCACAGCATGATCGCCTCCGTGGTGTAGTGGATAAAACATCTGCCCGGAGATCGCCTCCGTGGTGTAGTGGATAGAGCGTATGCCCGGAGACCACCTCTGTGGTGTAGTGGATAGAGCGTCTGCCCGGAGACCGCCTCCGTGGTGTAGTGGATAGAGCGTCTGCCCGGAGACCGCCTCCGTGGTGCAGTGGATAGAGCGTCTACCCGGAGACCGCCTCTGTGGTGTAGTGGATAGAACGTCTGCCCGGAGACCGCCTCTGTGGTGTAGTTGATAGAACGTCTGCCCGGAGACCGCCTCCGTGGTGTAGTGGATAGAACGTCTGCCAGGAGACCGCCTCCGTGGTGTAGTGGATAGAACGTCTGTCCGGAGACCGCCTCCGTGGTGTAGTGGATAGAACGTCTGCCAGGAGACCGCCTCTGTGGTGTAGTTGATAGAACGTCTGCCAGGAGACCGCCTCCGTGGTGTAGTGGATAGAACGTCTGCCCGGAGACCGCATCCGTGGTGTTGTGGATGGAACGTCTGCCAGGAGACCGCATCCGTGGTGTAGTGGATAGAACGTCTGCCCGAAGACCGCCTCCGTGGTGTAGTGGATAGAACGTCTGCCCGGAGACCGCCTCTGTGGTGTAGTGGATATAGTGTCTGTCCAGAGACCGTCTCCGTGGTGTAGTGTATAGAACGTCTGCCAGGAGACCGCCTCTGTGGTGTAGTGGATAGAACGTCTGCCCGGAGATCGCCTCTGTGGTGTAGTGGATACAGTGTCTGCCTGGAGACCGTCTATGTGGTGTAGTGGATAGAGCGTCTGCCCGGAGACCGCCTCTGTGGTGTAGTGGATAAGCATCTGCCCGGAGAGATGAAGGTAGGCGCTCGGCATTAGGGATGAAACGTCACTAAAGTGAAAATTCCATTTCACCTCACCTTACTTGAAGCAGCAGGACCTTAGCGCATTACCATGACCATTGAACATCTGTTTGACATCCAGCTATGAGCTCCTATTGAACACCAGTTTGACATCTAGAAATGAGCTCCCATTGGACACCTGTTTGACATCTAGTGCTGAGCTCCTATTGAACACCTGTTTGACATCTAGTGCTGAGCTCCTATTGAACACCTGTTGAATGTCGGACATTGAGTTCCCATTGAGCACAATGGACATCTAGCGCTGAGCCCCCATTGAGCACCTGTTGAATATCTAGCACTCAGCTCCCATTGAACACCTGTTGAATGACGGGCACTGAGTTCCCATCGAGCACAA